TGGGAGAGATGGGAAGGAACAGTGGTAGTTATCATAAATGGTCACAAACCTATTCACTTTGTACAAAACGGTAACAATCCTTTAATTTTGCACGTTTCAGTAATACAAGTTTGAGTGAATAACAAAGAGGTCAATCCGTCCACTTCCGTCCAAAAATCCGTTACTTTTGGCCAGTCAGCATGACACATCATTAAAAAATTTAATAATTTTTTTTAAATCATCCAAATTAACCCACACAACCCTAACCGGTTAAATAGGTTGGTACCCACCAGCCATTAGCTAATACCCCGTATTGGAGAAAGTAAAGACAGACAAAAGGTCACTTTTTTGCGAGAGAGCTGTTCTCCGGCAATGCAGCGACGAATCGGGGAAGGACTTGTGGCGCGGTGAGGTCGAGGCGGAGGAGTAGGGGGGGTGGGGGTGAGCGTTGCGGGGCTAGTGGTGTTCTGTTGTTTGTTTCGGGAGGAATCGAAAGAGAAATCGTCGGTGGAGAAGATGTTGTCCTAGTTCAGCTCGTGTCCTCGACGGCGGCAAGGACGCTTTCCTTGTCGCGGTGGAGCAGCGGCGGATTGGTGGAGAAGAAGGCGTCGAGGAAGCAGTCGGAGGAAGGAGGGGATTTTCGTTGGCGGAAGTGCTGTCCTTGTTCCTAATTGATCAGAGATCTGATCTGAAAAGGTAAAAAACCACACCAACCAAAATCCAGCTGCACATTCATTCTGATACACACAACAGAGAAAGAGAGAGTGGAAGCGTAGTAAAGAAAGGAAGCGTAGGGTATCCTGCGGCGAGGTCAATTAGTAGTTGGAAGGCAAAGCGCAGAACTTGAGATAGAGAGATCAGAGTCTGCAAAAAATTTCAGTATGGAAAGAATTTTAGATGTAGATGTAGATGTAGTTTGGGAGTCAATTGTCATCATGGGACAATAATGGTTTTGCTTTTCCTTTCCGGTAACGATAGCGAAAGAGAAGCAGATATGAGGAAGAAGAGGTAGAAAAGGTAGAGGACTCAGGAGAAGAAAGGTGGAATCCAGTTGATGGAAGACCACAAAGGGGGAAGCTGAAGCGCGCGTGGAAGACATAACCGAGTGATTAAATCGGTTAGGGTTGTGTGGCTAATTTGAATGATTCAATTATTTTTTATTAATATTTTTAATGATGTGTCATGCTGATTGGGCAAATGTAACGGATTTTTGGACGGAAGTGGACGGATTGACCTTTTTGTTATTCACTCAAACGTTTATTATTGAAACGTGCAAAATTAAAGAATTGTGACCGTTTTGTACAAAGTAAATAGGTTTGTGACCATTTATGATAACTACCCGAAGGAACAGAGATATGAGTGAGGTTCAGGGTACATAGCTGGTTTCGCAGACCAAGGTCAAACCGGGCTGCTCAGAGTAAGGGCTGGGCGAGAAGATCCTCAACGATGCAGCTCAAAGTCTTAAAATTAAGTCCAACCAGACCATTAGCCCAAATAGGTTGTCCGTCCCAACTGGACCGAGCCTTATCATAAAGATTAAGCCCATCCTCCCTTCCTTGTCTCTTTTTTAATCCACTCGGCCCAACATGGTCAAGAGCCTTATTGATCCATATAGGCCGTTCTTTACGTATCCATTGCTTGCGACTAGCATCCCTAGGAGCGGACGTAGATCTTTGCAAGCTATCCGTAGCGGATGCCGAGGAGACTTTCCCAACGCACATCCCAGAGCTCGAGGAAGCCATTGTGGCCGCTATGAATGAATTGCCTGGAAGATTGAAACGACTCTTCCCCTTCCATTTAGATAACGGGTTGCGCTTACTGCTTTTCGACGAGGGGATGCTCACCGTCGGTACCAAGATCTTGACCGGAAATATCCGACCATTGTAACAGACCGGTACTTCATCTGGAATCTACCTTACCGCCCGGATTCTGATCTTAATGAAGGCAGTGCTCCAGGAATTCCAGTCGATATCGACGAACACGTCACCGATGGACTTGAAGAGTTGAGCACTCTTTAAATGGAGGGGGATTCCTTAGGCCAGGATCCATGTCACATCCTGCAAAGAGATGATGTTGTGACCATTTTCGGGTTCCAGAGTGAGAGAGAAATTTTAAAATTGCAGAATCATAAATGACCGACTTCCTTAATGTGAGCAGCTTCGGATGGATCGGGGCAAATTAGTAACTAGTCCCCATCAGAAAGTTCTTCCATCCCGAAATTTTCATTATATTTCAAGCCTTACTCGCCCAACACCTGAACTCGTGAAGCTGATTGCGGGTGAAGATTTTCGATTCTGAAGAGAACCTAATAACCAGGCTTCTGCCAAGAAGCTTATGTCTTTCCTTCACTTCATCATCCTCAACATCAATAAAGCGCTCTCCCCCTTGTGACTTGATAGAGCACTTCCCTCCGCTGTAGAAACCCCCGTATCTGACTGCATCAGCAAATGAGATCCCCGGAGTAACCAGATGAGGCTGAACATGTTCAGGCGGAGATGCAACTCGAGATTGAAGCTCCACCGAGTAAACTTCTCGAATCAGATTAGTAAGCCTGGCCCAACCTAGCGTCATATATGCCTGCGGTATAACAATCTTGTAAACCTTCCCATTTCCAGCCTGTTCGGATATTTGAAGGTACGTCCCCTTTCGATTGGTTCCCTTTCCGACATGGATCGAGCACGAGTTGCTTGTCTTGATGCACCTGCTAGGGAAAGACCAACACTTCATCACCGTCGTTTGTAACACGCCTTGGAGCCATGGTATGTTCCATATCCATCACGGCGCTCCATCTTCTCTAACCTTCGTTGACTTGGAGCTTATACAACCATGATTCACCAACTTTAATTCCGAAAAGAGACACCAGTCTGGATCCCATTCGAGTCTGCCGCCGAACTTGTTCCGTCGTGCTGCTTCCACGCTGCCCATCCAAAAGTTGTGACCTGCAAGACAAAGGAAAAACAACCCTCTCAACCCTACCCAAATCTCCACTCTTGCTACTTATTTTCGCTCCGCTCAGCCTGCCAAGCCCTCTCTCTCTCTCTCTCTGGCCTCTCTCTCTCTCTAGCCATTCTATAGAGTTTTGATTTCAAATCAGAGAGAAGGGAAAGACTGATGAAATAGCAGAATGAATCGAGAGAAGGAAAGCCAAAAGCTTTCTTCTGTTTGCTATTTTAGTCAGCCAAGGAGCAAAGAAAGTGGGCCTAACAATATAACGGGCCCAAGCAAATATAATACAAACGATTTGCAGAGACTGAAGGCTAAAGGAATAGACAGGGTTTTGAGCTCAGCCTCGCTTCTTTGCTTCTCACTTAGAAGTTAGAAGTAGCCATTCTAGCAAAAGATTGTCGAAGAACAGAGAAGAAACAGGGGAAGAAACAGAGCAGAAAGAAAAGTGCAGAAAACAAGAACACAATAAGTTTTTAACGTGGTTCGCCCAAGTTCAATGGTGTGCTTCCATGTCCCAGAATACAGTCTGGGAGACCCTTTGTTGATTTTCTGTTTTGACTCAATTAACATGATTACAGTCTATACTACAAAAAAAAAAACAAAAAACACGAAAGGAAAAATTGAACAACCCAGATCACAGTCTAATTTGTTTCAGCCACGACACAAGAGACCCTCTACCTCTCTTGTGTCACCCCTTTTGATAAGTTTAGTCATATACCACAAAGCTTCTTTTCCACAAAAGTACAATCAATCAACAACCTCCTCTGATTATAAATAGCTAGCAGAGACTAGCCGTTGAAAGCAAATGGGACAATCCCTTTGATTCTTTCAATTAAGCGCTTTCCTTTTGTATTTCTGGACAACTTCAAATCAACAACGGTCTTGGTCAAGGAAGGAATCAATTCTGACTTGCTATATTTCAACACTATACAAATTTTATATTCCCCCATGAATTCATGAAATAAATAAAAAACATTTTTTTTGGAATGATACAAAATATTTTCCAAAAGTCTAATAAAACTCGAAGAAATAAACAGGCGCTACGGCAGCTGCCGTGCTGTCATCATTAACACTATGTTTGGGAAGGGGTGTAAATGGAAGGGGGGGTGCAAATTTGGGGGGTAAACACAAGTTCCAAGGTGTTTACCCCCGTTTGGTTATTTTGTAACAGTAGGGGGGTGCAAAACGTGAGCGTAAATTCACTATTTCGGCTTACCCCCCAAATTGGGGTGCAAGGGAAGGAAGGAAGGGAGGGGGAAGGGGGAGGAGGGGAATTATGGATTTTTAATTAGATTATAATTACATAATAATTAATATTATTAATTTTTTCTTATATCTATATTAGTGTAGAAGTTGTTTGGGGTTGACCATTTGACTCAGAGAGCAAGTTTGTCAATGTTCGCCTAGTCAAATCGATATCTCTTAGTTGACTCGAATCTGCATTGAAAATTAGAGATAAGAAGCGTTTGTTGAAAAGATAGAGAGGAACAATTTAGTTAACTCGATTTACTTTAATAAATAGTTAAAACTTACAGATTCGAACGTGTTTGACTAAGTTTGACCATATTCAATTTAAAGTTAGGCACGAGAACCCCCTTAGGATGACCAGTTACGAGTTGGATTTCGAGTTTCGAGGTTGCTCGACCAATGATTATTATTATTATTATAAATAATTATATTTGAGCATTATTATATAATAATTATTTTTATTAAAATTATTTTTATTTATTATTTATTATTATATATTGAATTTTCATGTTATTATTTTGTGATAATATTTTATAAATTGATAAATCTATTTTATAATAATATAATTACTTACTTTTTACTCTATTTGCACCCCCCTACTTTTTCATCCAAACAACAATTTACCCCTCCACTTACACCCTCCACCAAGTTGCACCCCCCAACAATTTACCCCTTAACTTGCACCCCCAACAATTTACCCCTCGAACTTGCACTCCCCTCGAACTTGCACCCCCTGTTGCCAAACATAGTGTAAGCGACAGCCGGGCGAGCGAACGAAGGGGAAGGGGCATGTTTGATATTTCTTGTAACCCCCAACTTACCTTTACTGTAGTCAAATATTCTTTATTATTGTTCTGTTCTTGCTTGGTCAAATCTCCCTTTTTTGTTCTTCTGCTGCTCCTCCTCCCCAGCCCCAGGTCTTCAGTTTTTTTAACTTCTCCTTGTGCAAAAGCAGCAACGACACCGGAGACCCGTATACCAGAGCTGAAAAGGGAATAAATGGCAAGGCGGCCGGACGAGGAATACGATTACCTCTTCAAAGTTGTCCTAATCGGGGATTCCGGCGTCGGCAAATCCAACCTTCTCTCCCGCTTCACTCGCAACGAGTTCTGCTTGGAGTCCAAGTCCACCATTGGCGTCGAATTCGCCACTCGCACCCTCCAAGTAACTTCCTTTTCCCACCCCCTCTCTCGGTTTCTCCCCTCCTCTCTGCAAAAACCCGTTTCTTGCTCTGCTATTTCGTTTTGCCGCTTGATCGATCCCTTGCTTCGCTTCCAATTCTGACTTACCTGTTTTGATCTGGGCCACTGCCGTAGAGAATTTCGAGTTTTTTTTATGCTCTTGTCTGGAGATGTGTTTGTTCTAGTTCGGTGTTTGACTAGGAGTTGAATTCTGCTGACCGGAGAGGATCTATTCGGTTTTGAGTCTGAATTTTGAAATTTGAATTACACCCACCAGCCCGAATCCACTGAGCATGACCTGGATCTGATTCCTTTAGTTGAATCAATGTTAGACGACTAAGTGTAGTGGTTTACTTGGTAGGCAGTGATCCATCGCTCATTGAAGTGTTCGATTGGCAAATGTGTTCAAAACGAACTCATCCTTACAATTCCTCTTGAGTTGCTGCATGAAGAGGTTCAAAACTTGGTCATATATTATAATCTCTTGCTAAAGTTTGGACCTTGATGTTGGAAGTGGGGTTTTATCTATAGAAGAACTTGTATCACTTGCCTGATGAAATGGTCTTAACTGTGTTTGTTCTGTGGGAGCTGTTTGGTATCATTTGATGAAGAATGGTGGAGTATTATACTGAAAGTATGAAACTTGCTAATGTGAGATCCTACCTTTTGTGTCCAATAACAGTTTGAAAGAATCGACTGGAACCCATAAGCTTCGGTAATCTATGGAATGGGTACTGTGTTGAGTGTGATGAGAGAGGAATGTGGAGATTCTATCATTTGGATGCACATATATTAAGATGGAATGTTAAATTCAAACGTTCAATTTTGGTATTGATGTGAATATGATGTTTGGTTAAGGGGATTTGGGTGAGAATAACCATGAAATTAAACAATCCCCACCTTCCACACATGGATTTACATTTCATCATAATTCCCATCATTCAGTAGATTTCATGGCATTGGAATGTTCGTACTTCGTCGAAATGATGCAGTGTGACTTTCCATCATTCTACAGAAAGGTTCATGGTCTTATATTTGCCTTGGAATTGTATAGTATGTACATCGAACGAACTAGTGATTTTGTGTAGCCTTTCTACTTTTACAGGTTTAACTTCATTTGTGCAAGTTTAGATAGTCACTCTGTTTCCAGGTTATTCCTTTTCCTTTTGCCACTATAGTATGACATAAAGTTGTGGGCTTTTCCTCTATTAGGTGGAGGGAAGGGTGGTGAAAGCGCAGATATGGGACACAGCAGGGCAGGAAAGGTACAGAGCCATAACCAGTGCCTACTACAGGGGTGCCCTTGGAGCTCTACTCGTATATGATGTCACGAAACCAACCACGTTTGAAAATGTCAGCCGGTGGCTCAAGGAGTTGAGGGACCACGCAGATGCCAACATAGTGATCATGCTTATTGGGAACAAGACAGATCTCAAGCACCTGAGAGCAGTTGCTGCTGAGGATGCACAAGGCTACTCAGAGAAAGAAGGATTGTCTTTCATCGAGACATCTGCCCTTGAGGCAGTGAATGTGGAGAAGGCTTTCCAGACGATACTGTCGGAGATCTACCGTATCATAAGCAAGAAGTCACTATCGTCGGAGGAAGGGGCAGCGCCAGTTAGTGTGAAGGAAGGGAAGACAATTGATGTGGGAGGAGGATCTGAAGGGAACACAAAGAAATCTTGTTGCAGTACTTCCTAGACAGATTGATTTCATTTTGTTAGCAGTGATCTTGCTTTCCTTTTAATTATTGTGTTACCAGCTCCCCTTTGAAGTTGGTTTTCCTGACTCCCGAGGATTGATTTCCTCTCTGTGCCTTGTTGAAACTTGAAACTGTAGTGTTTTTGCCTAATCCCCTTCTGATCTTTTGGGTCAATATAGCCTTATTGTTTTGTCATTGTGCATTGTTTCGTTTCTTTTCCTAATCGGCTAATCCCCTTGACTATTGCAACCATTCCCAAAACTCCATCAGTACTGTTTCTCCTCTGCAGAAGTCATTCCTAGTAAGAATATAGATAAACCATGGCTGCACTGAACACAAATTGTCACTGAAGACTATGATCAACCATGGCTGCTGTCTCGAGATCCCATGATCTTCATCAACTCGACTAGCCATTCTCTTTTTCCTTTCCCTTGGACAAAGCTCGTGAACTCCCAATATCGATGCTGTAGGAGCCCTGCTGCAAGGTTCCTTCCAAACTCACCATCAATTTCACCACCATACCACATTGATATTGTTCATCGAGTATCATTGCTCGTCGTCCTTGCCATCGAACCTTACTGAAACAGAACCACACTTCTCCTCCTATGAAACTTGGAAAGAACTAAACAAGCACACCAGACACTGTAAACGTTTCACACCCCCAAAAAAATAACATAACGAGGATGGTTTCCCAACATAATACACCTATACACAAGGAACGGAAGGAAACAAGAAAAGATCAAAATAAAATAACGTTCATCTCTGAAGCAATGTTTCCAATAATCTACACACCTCTCGTATAAGAGGGTGTCACACTGGCCTCCTCTCTATAATATGTATCCAATGTTGTCTCTCCCATTTACCAATCTCTTATTCAAACCCCAAAACTATACCATAGCATTTCAAAATTCACAATGCCAACCCCGGCTTTACAAAAATAAATCTTGTACACTGCACGATGAAGACTGCAAAAGGTATATTGGGTATAGCAAAGAAGTTCTTGCTTGCCTGCTTTCTGTTCATTCTCGTCTACCCCCTGGCTCCTACTTGTGAGGATTGATATGGGGGTAGAGCCCTAAGATGTGCTCTGGCACGAAATCGTGCCTCGTAAGTATCCCAACAATTGGAGGCCTCTGCAACATGAACAGTCAACATTAGAGTCCTGCACAAGGTGATTGCCAACATCTAGAGAGAATAAGAGGCTTACCCCTGGGGTCTTTGGCACAACCAACAAGTGCCGAAGACCAAGCTCTCGGAACAGCACAGCTGCTTTCGCCAATGACATTGTTTCGACGACAGTATAAGGGGAAGTATTGGTGATAGGATGAAGGTCAACATACATCTCCATCTCCTCTTCTGAGATTTCCAACTCCTCCAGCCTCACCCCTTTCCCAGACCCGGCTTTAGCAAAATCATGCGCCTTGAATCTCCTCATGATTTCTGAACCGGTCATCACCTTATGTTTCGTGAACTTCTTCCCCTTGAGCAACACAAGGAGATGAGACCTGAGCACAAGCCCACACAGCTCTGGTGCATCCGTGTAAGGTGGCTCGTCGATCACCGGAAATGCATTGTGCCTGGTTATCTTCAAGGCATGCCAGATGTTCCCCACTTTTTCAACCCCGGAGAAAGTGAACAATGGGCCCGAAACAACGTCCCCTGCTACCAACTGCCTCATGTATGGCTCTGCATGAGCTTCCATGTACGGCAGTCCTTTCATCTTCACGATTTGGTCATACACACCCTTGTTGAAACAATCAGCCACGGTTTTGGAAATGAGGAGAACCAGCATCATCAATGGAAGCATCAACAGGTCATTGGTGAGTTCGAGAAGTATGACACAGAGTGAGACCGTCATTCTCATCGTGCCACCAAGGAAGGATGCAGCACCAAGGAGAGCAAAAAGACCTGCATCAAGTTGAGAGATAGAACCGAGCAAGCGACCAACGAGGCGGCCATAAGACGCTCCAGCAAGAATGACAGGAATGAAGAGACCGGAAGGGACTGCAATGCCATATGTAACTATGCCGAGGAAGAATATGGCGCTAAAGAAAACAAGGAGGGTTGGGATATGGAACTGTTTTGTGATCCCCGGGCTGAGTAAATTTTTGATGGCGTCATCGTTGGTGTTAAAGAAAAGAGAGGCAAGGTCGTTGTATTGGTGTGGCGGACACTGGAAATTCTTGTAATTACCGGACCGACCTGCAGTGGGACACTGCTCCATAAGGTGGGGAGGACAGGGAGTGCATGCTGAGAGCCATGGGAGACCATACGAGCAACACGAAGTGAGAAGGGAGATGCACAGCACAAGTATGACCTTGAATATTGGTCCCTTCCTGTAATGGCACACCACATAAACCCATTGTGAGAAAGCAATTGGCATATTGTGATAACTAAACATTTCACAAAAGGATTACGAGGAGAAAAAATAAAGGATCTTTTAGACATACTCATTAATGATGCTATAAGTACGAAGGACCTTGTCTACAAGATAATTGTAAAAGCTTCCCAGAAGGCCTCCAAGCACACCAAGGAAGATGATTGCCAATAGATCTGGGGTGCCATAATTGGCAGTTGACGAGTTGACATCAAACATGATAAGTCCTCCTTCCCCGAATAACCCACAGTTTCCAGACTTACAGAAGTCCATGAAACCTCTCAACACCACTGCAACGACAGCAGTTGTAAAGAAAGTTCTCCAAAGTAGAGCACTCCTCCACCTGAAGAACCCCAAAACAGTCAAAATATTTTAGAAATAATGTATTAACTTCTTTTTTTTTTTTTTTTTTTTTTTGCCATAGAACAATGGATTAACCATTGAAATAAGAGATAAAAATGGATTAACTATTGAAAGTCTTGCCATCCGCTTGCAGCAATACATTTAGTACTACTTTCTAACTAAAACACATGCCATACACGACAAACAAAATTGTGAGCCATTAAGTAGCACAGCACATGTCCTAAAATCTTCTGCATTGGTTCTGCAAAATTCACATTTTTAGTTATTTTGTTCCATCTTACCTAGCATTTCGTTCAAAGTTCCTACCTACGAATATCGATAGTACAATCAATAATTTAACCCCAAAAGTGGCGAAAGAGCGAGAGAGATACCATGAAGCAGCTTCTTCAAGGGCAAATAGGACACCACCAACAGGAGCTCGGAAAGCAGCTGCTACACCAGCTGCAGCACCACAAGTCACAAGATCTCGTCGATCCCTATCATTCTTGAAGTGCCTCAGCCATCTCCATGTTAGATGATACCTCCTAGAGCCACCCTGTCCAAGAAAGGCAGCTATGCACGCTCCAGTGTGGACCATAGGTCCCTCCTTCCCCACAACCAAACCAGCTGCAACTCCAAAGATGGACCCAAAAATCTGCCAAATTCGAAGGAGCGACAAGAAACAAAAGAATCAACCATGTGTCGAGGAAAAACAAGAGTGTGGAAGAGCAAAAGATTGTTTTAAAATTTGAGGACAGATTCAGAAAGACAGAAGTCTAACCTTCACGAAGAGAGTGCTTGGAGCTAAAATAGAAGGAGCATCTACACCATTAAGGTATGCTTTAACTTCAGGTATGCCAGAGCCTGCTGCAGCAGGGGCTCCGTAAGCACAGAGGGTAGCAGCTGCGACAGCCAAAACGGCATTGCAACCAGCAAATGCTCCGAATGCCTGGTAATAACTGTACTGGAATAACAATTACTTCACAGTTACATGAAAATTATCGTAGTCTCGAAAAGGTAATATCTAATGTGTGATTGCAGCATTAACTTAGGCAATGCAGGCACAGGAGATAACAAGGGCTTACTTGGCCCGAAGCATAAGACTGTTCGTCAACAGAAGCTTAAAACCAGCGATGTTCTCAACTGCAAGGTTGCTGAAAAAGGCAACAACCCCAGTGCTAAATCCAATCAGAAGGGCCAGTGTCCACTTAAGGACCACATATTGAACTATCTCATTCTTCTTTCTAGCCCTCCAATCTTGCTTAAACAGCTCATTCTCAACAATCCTGCCAAGTCAGAAAACCAAGATCAATCCCAAGAAAATCTGGATGAATCTCCCCATCCAAGTATATAGCAGAAAAGCACACACCAAAAGGTGGCCACTTTCAACTCCTGGGCACAGCCAAATCAAGTACAACTTGTAATAAGTGATACAGGCATACAGCTGACTTTATAACAGAAATGGATAAAAAAGGCAAAAGTGCATCTCACTTAACTTATGTGATCAACCCCATGAAATCCACAAAGTGAAAACAAAACAGCCCTCGAAAAGAATGGCTAAAAACCAACCAGTAATCCACACACAATCACCGAGCAACTGAAATCTAATCACAAAGAAACTCCATAATTAAAGAATGTTGGGTGGGGAATGGAATTGGCTTACTCATAGTCAAGGCTTTCAATGGGGCAAACATTGGCACCAACAATGGCAATCTGTGAAGTATTGTTCTGCCTGTTCCTGAGAAGGAGCGGCTCTTTCATTGACCCGAACTCCTTCTCTTCTCCGATCCCTCCATATCCCTCTATCTCTATATCATGGTCCTCTGCATGATCTTCCATCTTCTTCAACCCTTTCTCTCTACAAAAGGAAAAACACTCAACTGTGATGTCCACCACCAATTTCTCCCTCTCCCTCTATATAATCCAACCCTTCCCTCCCCAAAATAATTCATTCCATTTTGCCGTGCTTATCGACTGAACCCCCCAGACAGAACAATCAATCCGACAGCGAAAATTTTGTACATAAAAATGGAGACTTTCCTAGAAAACAGACAGTGGGTTCTACCTCGAACCATCAACTCACCCATCCAACACTCAACCCTTCTGCCAAAAATATCTTTCCCTCTCCCTCCCTCTCCTGATTCTCGAGAGTTAGCATTAGGGCATTCACAGATCTTAATAAAAAGAAGCCTGGAGGCCGCGGGGTTTAGACGTGTACAATGTCAAACCAAAGAACGGTGAGTATTCCCACCAATAAAAAGAAAAAGAACGGTGAGTTCGTGACGCAACTCTCTCCAGCTGTGGTGTCCCTCTCTCTCTCTTTCCCTTTCTTTGTTCCTTCCCTCTCCTTCTTCCCGTCCCTTGCTTTCTGGCATCAAATTGAGGCCATGGAATCAGTTTTCCTGAAAGAAATGAATTTTCCAAATATTTGTATTTTGATTTGATGAGAGGAAGTTGATTAGTCTATCGGGTTTGGATGATTAGTGCGCCTGGATGATGCATCGCGTTTGTTTGGGGCAACGGATAGATACGCTACAGCTTTCAGAAATTAATTAATTAATTAATTAGACATGTTTACAAAAATAAAATATATTAAGGATGGTAAGTAACTAATGGAGATAATATAAAAAAGTAGCACGCACTCACTCACGAAGCCGGTTACGATTAGTCATTAGATTAGTAAGTACCAACTATACAGTCATTAGATTAGTGAGAAGTTTTTTTTTTTTTTTGAGGGAACTGATTAGTGAGAAGTTTATCTAAATGGCTAAGCCAGAATATTTGGGTCACATTGATAAGGTGCACTGCTCTCGAATTAATGTGATGGACCTGTATATTTATTAAATATTTCTTCATAATTCATTTCTCTTACATTTATTAATTCCGTCCCATCCACCTTGATTAAGACCCATGTTGCAACTTTCAACTTTGTTCGCAATTCACAACTCACAATATTTCACATGAGATCCAATTCATATCATGATGTAGTGAAGAAGGACAACGCCTCGCCTTGGCAAAAAGCAGTGAAGAAGGCATCATAATCACGTTGTGGCCTCGGTGGCGTCCAGTGAGCATTAAGTTGCGCCTCAAAATGATATCATGATGTATTTTTTCTACCTTTTGATATACTAGAATGGAGTATTGTATTTGATTTCTCTATAATTAGGCTAGGATATAGTTAGAGACTACCATCTTTAGAGTAGTTTCTTCTTTCATTTTTGTGCTTCTTCGCTCTCAATCTGCTTCACTATTTTCCAGTTTCTTCTTCCTTGCTCATTTCTCCAACTATGTTTTATTTGTTTTACCATGTGTTGTTAGTGAAAGTTTAGAAATGAGAGGTGGATGCGATGATATTGGTTCATAAACTTGTGATCATAGACAAATGTGAGATACTTTGATACGTTTGCATCTAACGCGTAAACACGTCTAAGCGATGCCTAAGCATGCTAGGTGCAAGACAGAGCCTCAACGATCGCTTTACGCCCAACACTTTCTTAAACCTTGATATAAACATTTGGAACTACAAACTTAAAAGATGTTGTACCAATTTGTTAAAGTATATAAACATTTGGTGCCAAATAGGAATTTAACCCTTTTCCAGTTTCCTTTTCCGAAAGTTCAAGTAGGAAGTTGGGGGCTTGGGGGCTGGGGCGTATGAATGCGAATTTCGGATATTTATGCTCTTTGCGTTCTTCGTCATCATCTTCTTCTCTAGTTGCGGTGCGTGTCTCCTTCAAATATCAGAATCTATCGAAGGAAAGAAAAAGGGGGGAATCTTAATTCAAAACCCTAGAATTTGAAACCCTCGATTAGGATTAGCTTGGTGAAAGGAACGGAAGATTACACAGAGGGGCAAGATGGAGGGTGAGAGCGAAGAACTCAGCATGGAGGAGCTCGCTTCCAATCTCTCTACATACAGAGAACAGCTTGATAGCGTAAACCCACTCCCTTTCCGTTTCTCTTTAAGTTTGCCTTCAAATTAGCGTCTTTGAATTGCCTATTCGAATTTTGTGTATTGGGTTCGCCGAATTAGGGTTTCTAGTCGGGTTTGTTTGTGATTTTCGAGAGTTAATAGGCAATAGGGTAACGCTGAATTTCGGGATATTTGTATTGGGTCATCTGGTTTTGTCTTTTCCCTAATTTTTGTGGGGGCTGTAGTTAACAGTCTTTCATCGTTTCAGAATGCTAGCTCTATTGCATCCTGGGTATGCTTAACGCCTCTTGCAGCTGCATAGCTGCGTCGACTTAACTAACTTCACTGTCAACATTATAACCTCATCTAAGTGTGTTTGTTGTATTGATTAATTATGCTGTTGGTATGTATAAAGATCACTCTTTTCAGCGGATAGCTAGTAATCATTCTAGATAGTGGGGCATTCTATGATAAGATGCTACTAGGAAGTGCAAGTAATGTGTATTCAAGTATAAAAGCCGTCTCTTTGCTTCTGGAGTAAGATCTTTCATTGTTGTGTATATGTAGATTGAGTGATTGACTCTTGTATTGTTTTTGTGCTTGTGTGTTAGGTTCGGCAACTTTTGGCTGATGATCCTGACAATGCTGAATATGCAGACATGGAGAAGGAACTTGGCGAGGTGATCTGCTGACATAAATGTGATTCAATTGGTTTTTTCTTCTTCGTAGTGTTGGATAAGTTCAAGGGACTAAGATGGTGGTGGTTGATTATGGCTTCTATTCAGTGTTTGATAAGTTTTCCTGACCGCATACTGGTTACTTTCATGGTGTGAAGATCCCCTATATGATTAGTATTAGGAACTATAACTGTACTTGGCTAGTTGGTGCAACTTTTTAGTCGATAAGTTGTTTCATGAAATTTATTTTCCTTCTTTTTATCTCTTCCATGTCTCTCTTGAAGGAATGAAAATGTTGTTCATCAAGCAACATTAATTAGCTGCTAATATCTCAATGGAGTTCTGATATCGTATCGTATTTGAGTAAAGGTGAGGGTGGTTTCTTATGTAGAAAAGAGATTTTTAAAACATGAACCTATATTAGAGACCGAGAACTTCGACAAAATGCCCATCACTCCTATCTTGATCCAATTTGCAGGTTTGCTAGATGTCTTGTGAAGGGCAGGCCTGCTTCTCTACGCCACGTGTTAAAGATCTTGGGATTCTGTTTCTGTTAACAGAAACTACAAATAATGATTAGCAGTGGTGGTGTTCCTGTTTTTGTATCTCAGGGGATTAGCTAACATTCTGGGCGTTGCAGGTCATTGCTTTAACCGAAGAACTCCTTGAAACTGCAAAGCAGAGTGAGGTCGTTGGATCAGACATTGGTGCTGGAAGTAGTGTGTCTCCGACATTTGGTCAATCTAAGGTTGGTAGCAATTATGTAGCACTCCTATTCTGTCATTTTGTTAACTGTTTAAAACGTTTGTGTTCTTAGTTCCCGGGAGATGTTGTTTTCCTAAGCCAAGAATCTTAGAACGATTACATCGATGACCTCAAATAAGCTGATGTAAGCATTGTTCTTCGAAATGTACATACATAATTTCTTCTTTCCTCTACCAGGAATTAGCAGACAGCTCTGATCAAATCGGGAAATTTCCTGTGGGCTCTAGAGTTCAGGCTGTGTGGAGTGAGGATGGAGAATGGTATGTATAAGGCCATGAGCAGATTATATTTGACCATTCAGCGTCTTGTTTTGTTGCATTTGCTTTACCTTCTTTTTCTTTGTGTTTGATTAGTTAATTGTTCAGGTATGATGCGACGGTCGAGGCAATCACCACCAATGGCTACTATGTCGCCTATGATGAATGGGGAAATAAGGAAGAGGTGTGTTTTTGCTGTTTCTCTGTGCATCCGAATTTACAGTTAAGCTGTCATTGGGAACTAACCGAGAGAGATCATTATTGTTTGTTGGGGTGATTGCCAGGTGGATCCTGACAATGTTAGACCAGTTGAAACCAATGCTCTGGTTGAGGCTGAAAGACTAGCGGAAGCTACAAAACAGGCCATCAAAAGGAAGATTGCACAGGCTGCTTCATCTGATTACCAGTCACGCACTTTACCAGCAAAGCTTCGAATACAACCTGAGGATCCAGAGGATGTGAAAGTGACAAAGCGGAAGAAGATACATGCATTCAAGTCCAAGGTGAGGGTCGAGCAACTTGAAGTTGCACAGAATAAACGCCAAAATGCATGGCAGCAGTTCCAGACTACTAAAGGGAAGACTAAGAAGGTAATTTATTCACATGCATTGTTTTTCTTTTGATAAATGATGAAAATTTTTATTAGAAAAAAGAAACAAGCTACAGATTAAAAAAAAAAATGAAATAGATCCGCTAGGAGTGGACCGGCCAGCCTAACAACTATGCATGGACATCCCAAATGATCAAGAGAAAAACCAGGCACAACCTGTAGAATAGAGTCCATACTACCATCCCAACAGGGATCCAATGTGCTGAAAATCAAATTAGCAACCAACAATCAATGACAGCACATCAGCAAACAGATTCCAAAACCAGCTAACTAAAGAGACTATTAGGGACATGGTCTTTGTTGCACTGACATCCCCACATACCACGAGCTTGTCTCCTCCTTCCTAACTCTTCCATGTGCTAGCAACCATTCTCCTTTGTTATCATAGCAAACCTTGTTGAATGTCCTGCTACTTTGAAGTTGATAGTCCTTGAGATAAGATTGTTCGGAGCCAACCAAATCTCTCACATGCATTGTTCAACAACCAATTTTGAGTACTTGTACTGTTCACTGTTTGCTAATACCTGGAGGCCTTTCGGATTAACGAAATGTGGCTGGCTGAGAATGAAGGTCTTCTGGAATATTGAACTCTTTGTTATTTTCCAGATCGGTTTCTTCTCGGGCAGGAAACGAGAAAGCATATTCAAGTCTCCAGATGATCCACAGGGTAAGGTTGGTGTGACCGGGAGTGGGAAAGGTTTGACAGATTTCCAGAGGAGGGAGAAGCATTTACATCTCAAGGGTGGATCTGCAGAAACCGACGAATAGAGAGTGGTTGCTGTCTTCAGCTGTTCTGCTCACATGTTGTCTATTACTCTTGAGTCAAATACTCCTTAATATTCTCTGCGTATGAGTAAACTGGTGGTGGGAGGCTTTGTACTTAACTGAGATTCTTGTCTGATGTGAATTTGGATGGCCGTATGCGTGCTTCCCCACTGAACTTTAGAAAGCCATGTTGGTTTCTTTGTTTTTGTTTTTTCCAGCAAGATCAGCCATTGTCCTTGTTGCCGACATTTTCAATGTTGGGGTTTTTCTCGTGCTTCAGAATCTGCGATCTTATTGCTGTGTGGTTGTTAAAGGGTCCATATGAGTCCCTCGTTGTGACGGTAACTGTTTAAACGCAAAGAAAAGACCTCTCATCATGGTCACGGGTGCTCGGGTAGGCCATTGAAAGTGGCAAAAACATTGAGGTAGTTGAGCGCATTATTGCAGTGCCCTCTGGTTCTCGAGTTTGTGACAGTTCCCTCTCCCAATTTATCTAATGCTCACAAGTGTTGTAACCGGTGTCCGGGTTTAGCTAGATGATCGACAACTGAATTAGTTTCTCTTATCGTGTAAGAAATTGAAGCCTACGAGTTTGATGCGAGAAGACGACGACAATCAATTAATCAAATATCAATCAATACCTAGTTCGTGTGGGATGAAAGGGTAGTTAGTTACTGTAAGTCTGTAACGTCATGGAAGGGAGGCTATTACGTTAAAAAAAAAAAAAAAAGCCACAAGGACTTGAGTCATGGAAGTGACATGAGGCAAAAGGGAGAAGGCCACGCATTATACTATTGGACCAGGATTCAGGAGTCCATGTTGTTCTTTGACTTTTGATATTGACAAGCTTGGGCCTTGTAGATTGTAGACCATTGGGTCGAGTTTGGATGCTGCCATACTGGGGAAGGGCTTTGATTGTAATTAGGGGTGTACAGGGGTCGGGTGGTCCGGGTTTAGCCATTTTAATCATCCGATCCATGCACTACGGTTTGAAAAATATTAAACTCAAACCCACCAAAATTTTTTTAAACCCAACGATTTGTCTCTAATTGGGTTGGGTCGGGTCGGGTCGGGTCGGGTTGGCGATATTTTTAACTAAAAACTCAACCCAACAAAAAGTATGTAATTATTCTACACCATAAAAATATTTTGTAACTAATTAAAATTTCAAATGAATAAACCGAGATGAAAGGTATCAAAATTCACAAATGTTGTTTGATTTTCAATAAAATATGATTTACTTCAACATATGTCTAGTTTTTTTCACGATATTTGTTGAAATAGGATAAAAAGGTTATAAATGAACGCATCCATAATATGTTATTCTACTAAAATTGTACACATGAAAAAGTATTACGTGAATCATAACTATATTAAATTTATGTCTAAACTTTAAGTCGAAGAATGCATTAAATTAGGGAGACCACGAGAGAAAAACATGGCGAAATATCTTAATTTTCTCATGAGTATGGCTATATACAACATAAATGTTTTTTGGATACGAACTCATACGAATAACTGAAACACGGGTTGGGTTGAGTTCTACGGGTTGTGCAATCCAAAATCCAAACCCAACCCAAAAGAGGCGGGTTGCACAAAAGAAAACCCTCACCCAACCCAAACCTTCATTTTAGCGATAAATACGGTTGGATCGGGTCGGATTGGACGGGTGGGTCAGTTTGTGAGTGTGTTTGTTCACCGCTAATTGTAATAAGTAATAACTGAACCAATTAAATTAAAATTCATAATTTTTTATGAATTTTGAATAATTAATAATTAATTAAGATGAACATGGAAAAAGTGTGAAAGTGTCAAAATCTAGCTAGTTATGGATGAAATCAAATTAGTGTGGGACAATTCCGTCATTATTTTTATATAGATTGTAATAATTAATTAAGGCGGACATGGTCAAATACTAAAGACGATCAAAAGGGCATTAGGAAGATTTACCAAAAAATGGAGTTGGGAAGAACCATTAGGCAAGATATTCAACGACAGTTGAGCGAGGTGATGATTCTGCTCAACCAGAAAAGTCCTCTATTTCATTTTGGGTTACGAGAAGAATTTGTACATAAATCTGCAACCCTATTACGGTATGCAATAACTTAATTCAAAATAGGAAATATGTTCTCCATGAAGTGAACTAACTAGCACATTTCATGTTAGTGCGTCATTTACGTCTCTTGCTCTATCGATTATTTGCTCCATTGCAACACCTTTTGTAGTGCTCCATTATGTGGGGAGTCTTCCTTCCTAATCAAACTCTCCAGTACTTTGTCGAATGGAGAAAATGAGAGGCAACAGGGAACGGAATGATATCATATTTGGTCAGCTAGCTTCTTTTGGGAACTGAGTTGAGGGGTAAAAGGCAGTTTGGTTGGTTGAGGGAGCAGAAGAGGAGGAAGAAGAAGAGAGAATCCATTTGTATATCGACCACACAATGTTAACAACTGTTCAATCGTCATAAAACAAAAAGGAAGACATGTACATGAATGATTCCATTAACGACTTGAAAACAGAACACTGTCTGTCTTTTAACTATGTGGTAGTGGAACATGCTCCCCTCTCACCCGACATTGTTAACTCACGAGATCCACGGCCAGTCTGTTTGATTTATATGTATAGTGATCACATCAGTTGAATTTTAAGTTACTCCGCAATGTTTAGAAACCCTATCGTACCATATGGTCGGATCAGAAATATTGGATACTGAATTATAAACGGCACGTGGGTTTAATAGGATGAAATTATTGAACTGCAGTTCAACCATGATTTTAGTACAAAATACCTTATTACTACCTTTTTCCGGTATAATCTTCGATATAGTTTCACAATCAATGAGTTACTCTAGCTAGCTAGAGAGAGAGTTTTCAGATATTGGAGAAGAATGGGGGTAGGGGCCTGGCTTCCGACATTAAGAGAAAAAACATGTCTCTTTGTCACAATTGTTGGATTAAAAATCATAAGTTACTGACTATTAGCTTTCCATCCACTACTCCCACTCTTATTTCTGTGCAATCCTCTCTGCTTTTTGTGGTGAAGGAACATATTAGCCTTTATTACCTATAGTTGTGTTCCATGTTCATGAACCAAAGGAAAGAGACAGAAACTCAAAAGAGAACAATGCTATGACATGACTAAGTATGCTTTTATTTGTTGCATCTGAATCAGCAGCCTAAATGAGGGAGGATATATAATTTGTTCAACTGTCCTATAGAGGGATCTGGATTTTCATCGAAGTGGATTGCATTATTCGTGACCTCGCATTTGTTGGATATATTGTCCTACTTTTATCTAAGAAACATGATATTCTAAATTCGATCATGTACTAGTTAAGAGAAAGAGACACGTGTGTGTTATCATGAGAGTTTGGATATTGAAGGTGAGAAAGATGATTTCGGTTCTTTCTAGGCCTAAAGTCGACTAAGGATCAAATTTGGTAAACGTTCAACACCTATCTTGCTTCTAGGAAATGGTCACTATAACAAGTCAGGAGATAAATATATACTTTGTTGCGAGAATTTGGACGTTTGAAGGAGAGAAAAATGATTTAATTTGTTTCCAACACACTGGTAAAGAGTAACCAACCTTGTCCATTTTGACATATACTTTATGTCTGAGGCAATTAGAATTAAATAAGGTACTCAATAGTCACCCTCCTCCACATATATCTCGCAATTTAAATTTCTTTCCAAGCATCACCGTCTTTATATGATCAAATTCACTCAATTGCTCACATTAATGAGTAGGCACAATCCCAATATGACATAATCACTGAAAAAGAATCCGAACTCTTGACTTCACTTGTGTAACATCACTTATTAACCACTTTTAGCTTATTCCAACTAGCTAGCCTCCCTAAGGTTCAATCTTTCTTAGCTAAGTCCAAGGGACTTGAGCTACTAGAAAAGTTTCATTGAATTGGATTGAGCTTAAGTTGTACTAGCTAGTGTGAGGTAAACTTAACCTTTCTAAGTTGACTTTAGCTAGCCAAAATCCATTTTCAATCATTTTAAGTAGTGCAAGCTAAGCTCTCTTGTGCTTGCCTTAAGACCCTTTATTCCTACTTGGGCTGAATTAGTCTCTTGTACATAGAAACTCCTATGAGCTTTTATGAGCTCACATGAATTTCCTATGAGTTCAAATTAATTGCTTAAGCCAAGAGTCTCAACATGATGTTCTATTACACTAGCTAGTACGAAATTTTGCACCAATTATTTGCAGAAAATTTGAGTCTGGCCCTCTCAAGCACTTGACTTGAGTAAGTATATTCCCTCCTTTTCAACCACTCAAAGGAGAAAGTGATGAGGTCCCCCACTATGAAGGGAATATTTTTTTTTTTTTATGATAATGGATCTTTCATTTCATTTATGTTTTTATATAGTAAAAAAATTGTTTTTTATTATGAACGATGCAATTGTGTATTAACAAGAGAGAGAATTTGTGACTCTCGTTAAAAGACTGAGAATACAAAACTGTGAGATCAAAGACGACGACAACAACAAAACCACCATGTAGTCAATTTATGTTAAAATAATTAAAACACCCCTCATCGTACAAATAGGTCTAAGGAATTCTAAATTAAATTCGTACTTATATATATCCCCTACAAAACTTTCTTTAGTAGCATGTCAAAATCGCTAAAATTTCTCGATATGTATACCTATCAAAAGTTTGATCTTTGCCCAATTCCACACCATGTATGACCAATCTTCTAATTAAACAAATACAAAACAATATATCAATCTACCAACTACCAAGTCTCTAAAAATGTGATGACTCCACTCCAACCAGTCTTAAATGGGCTGTTTCTTCCAAATTCTCCACACATCCAATCCAATGGGAGCCTTTTTAAAAGGTTATATATACCCCTTACCCTTAGGCCTTATTATAGCTTTCAACAACCTAGATAACTAGAGCTAATAATTCCATGTCTTGAGATTGCTGGTTGAAGAGAAAAATAATGTTGGTCGCTCGTCGGTCTGTTCACTAAACAATCATCATTATTTCCAAGCCAATCGACCCCTTTTTTGTCTTCAGTCACTTACACATAGTTTCTCTGTAAAACATTCATAGAGATATATAGCAGCAAAGCTAGCTAGCTAGCCACATGGCCACTCAAAAGCAAGACAGGAAAAGATACATCCATCCATCCATCCATCGATCGACCATAATAAACAATCTTAATAATGGAAGCGAGATTTTCCCTTCCACCACCAATAATTGTCACCACCCTATTAGCTACCCATAACATTATGTTACAAACCCTAGTAAAAACATACCATACACGTAGCTACTTCATGTGTCAAGAAAAAGTACAACCACTCAATATAGTAACCATCATTAATAAGCCAGCTAGGGCTAGCTGTCTCATTCTCATTGGTCCTCCAAACCCTTCTTCTAGGGTATGGCTTCATCATCACCACCCATATGATCTTCACCTTTGTTGTCATCACAAGGAGAGTACCAATTCGCCCAAAAGAGATAGTTGAGAAAGTTGAGGAAGCTCAACACCGCCAGCATCCAGTAGAAAAGATCCAACCTATCGTTATTAAGGTCATTGTCACCGAGCCAACCATGACCCGAAGAAGAATACCTCGAGGTGATCTTGTTGACCGACGAGACCAGAACCGAGCTTAGGTAAAACCCGAACGAGTACGAGCAGTAGGTAATCGCGGTCAAGAACGACTGCATCCCTTTGAGCGACTGCTTGTAGAAGAACTCGATGAGACCTACGGCGGTCAACATCTCGGACAGACCGAATACGAGGAACTGCGGCGTGATCCAAAATATCGAGATCCTGACGTTGTCCTCAACCGCTGCTTCCCTCCTCTTGTTCTCCATGGCGGCGGCCGCCACCATGGAGAACGTGGCGAGGAAGAGGCCCGACCCGATTCTTTGCAACGGGGTGATGCCCGACTCGTGGCCGGTGAGCTTTCTGGCTGCGGGGACGAATACGGCGTCGTAGAGAGGGACGAGGACGATGAGGATGACGTAAGGGATGGCTTGGAGGGAAGCTGGCGGGATGTCGAAGGAAGGGGTGAGCTTTGTGTCCATGGCGCGGCCTTGTTGGACGGAGAAGGTCTGGAGCTGGGCGAGGATGGTGTTGAAGACGATGGTGCACGCGAAGATTGGGATGACGGAGATGAGGATCTTCACTTGTTGCACTTGGCTCGTGGTGCATAGCCGCCATGGGCTCTCACGACTTGTTCCGTTGTCTTCGGTGCTTCTCATGGAGGCCTTGTCGAGGAACCTGAATCTTTGTGCGTGGACAACGTTGTTGGTGGTTGTCGTGTTTTGTTGGGTGGATGGAGAGATCTGATTTCGCTTCAAGAAAGCAGCCACAAACACCTGAAAGTAATGGATATCGTAAAGAAGTAGTTAAGTATTATACATAGATGTCTTTGAGTCTTGCGTTTTCAAGTTTTCATTACCCTCAATATTCATTGATATCTTTAAAGCACACAAACTCGATGTATACGTAGAGAAGTAGTTAAGTGCTATAGACATATTCCAACGAATTCGAGTTATTGATACCAGTTGGTTTACGACTTCAAATTCTCATGACCCTCAATATTCATTGGTATCTTTAAAGCACACAAATCCGACGTGTAGGAAAGTAGTTAAGTACCATACATGGATATTTTCCAACGACTCGAATTATTGGTACCAGTTGGTTTTGCGACATGGTGCATGCATGGCAGTTGGATGAGATTGAGATAGAGGTGTAGTAGAGTGTGCTTACTTGGGCAATGGGTGTTAAGATGGTGCGTTGAGGGGGCTTGTTCCTGTAGAAAAGGGTGCCAGAGACCAAGGAGATCAAGCCCATGGCCATGACAGCAGCCGAGACGCCAAAGCCAACGTCCATGCCAGAGTGGGTTTGGACCCAAACGAGGAGGGTGAGAGCTACAAGTTCACCCATTGAGAAGGCGAAGTAGGCAGAGTTGAAGTAAGTGGAGAGCTGCTTGGACTGGTGATCCTGATGCTTCTTTTTGGTGACTTGATGATGATTACGATTATCTTGATCTTGATTATGATTGTGATTATGATGGAACTGGAATTGGTCTGCCCCATGTGCAATCATGTTTGGTTTAACACATCCACTCCCTAATGCCACTAAGTAGAGGGCCACAAAGAAGATTAATGCCTTGAACCCTTTTGCCTCCTCACAATCATAGTGCTCCATGCCTCCTCCACTAGTGTTGTTGTTGCACTTGGGTGGCTTCAGTTGTGGAACATGAGCCTGGACTGACAGCAAGATGAATCCCTACACCCAAAAAATTAATTAAATGTGTGTGAGTATGAAAGAATCCTCATTTATATCTTTGAACAATGATTACCATTTATCTCAAGCCATAAACATGTGACATTTGTCTTTTGGTAATACCCATTAGTACTTATAATGTACATAGTTGAATGAATAAGATAATGGGGGAGAGAAGAGGAAGGCAAGCCACTATTGTGGATGTGGGATTTTGAAGGTTAAGACTTTGACTTTGAGAAGTTATTGGAGAATAGAAAACTGGAATAAATAAAAAGGAACATCAAAGTGGAGAAGAAGGGGCTGGGCCAAACTAAAGCTACAATGATGGGTGGTTTGAAACAAGGGGGAAAGGGAATAATGTAAAAAACTGGGCATTATAAATGACGATTAAGAGCGAAAAAAGATTTGGTTTAGTGATAATACCATTACTGTTGAACCTGTTGGAGGTTTTAGGATCGAATTAGTTCAATTGCATTTAATTATGATATTAACCTATATCATATAAAAAAAATTGACGCAGACGACTTACAGAAAGCTCAACGAAGCCAAAGATGAGCATGGTCCAGAAACAGCCGAGATAAGAGTCAGAGAGGTAGCCACCAAGGAGCGCCAGGATGAACACCGTCCCGACGAAGTTGGTGACGATGTTGGCCGACTCGGACAGCGAGAAGTGCATCTCGTTCATCACGTATGTTATCAGATTGTTCCCTACGGCCGCTATCGCCATGATCTCAAATGCCTGCAGCCCTACAGTAGTTTCGCAGTAACAAAAAGAAACCCAACAACGTCAGCACATACAACTTATCCATCACCCCAAATGTAACAAGATTACAACCAAACAAACTTTAACTCTTATGCATATCATGACTGCTCTATGGAACAGTACTATTATAGGAAGGAAGGAAGCAAACAAAATCTGAGCATATGTAAGCCAAAATGCAGAAGAAGACAAGATACCAACACGGACTACGTGGTGGTTTGTGATCTATTGATATAGAATCATATGCGGTAGGGTCTGTTTCTTTTGTGCAGTAGCTAACTGGCCTGGTAGTAGAAAGTGTGGGGGGAAAAAAAGAAGAAGAAGGATGTACCAAGAACAAAGGATGCAGCTCTCATTCCACCATGTTTGTGAGGGTTGGAAGGTCTGCCCTTCCAATCTACATAGCCTGTGTCTTCTGCACCACTAATGCCATCATTGTTGGTCTTGCTGCTCTTGTTGCTGCAATTCTGATCTCTCCTTGCCTCTATTTCCATGTTGTTCTGGTTGGGAGAGGAATGAAAAGAAGAGCAGGAAGGAAGAAAGAAAGATAGCTGCTTGGTTTCCAAGAAAATGGTAGAGAGAGAGAGAGAGAGAGAGAGAGAGAGAGAGGTGGGTTTGTAATTTGGTGAAGGTGGTGGGGGATTGGTTCCAAATTTATAGAGAGCTTTAGCTTGCTTGATGGGTTGCCTTCAATTTGGTCCCTTGAGCCCCACAGGCAGTGAGCACTTTGCTCTGCTCTACTACACACACTTGCACCCACAGCCACAATGTTTAAAGTGTGTGAATCTTCCTTTTGGAGTGGTCTACACACACAATATCTCTGGTTATCCAATTTTTTCCAAACAAAGTCAATTTTACATGTAATGTTTTCCCTCCAATTTTGTCTCCATTAAAATTTTGAGTTTTTAGATAAAAAAAAAAACAAAACTTTATGCAAGAGTTTGATTCCATAATAATATAGGACGATGACATCCATCATGTTTTGATTCAAACATTAATAACTACAGTTGGTAGCATAGTTGGTAAAATATGTTATGAGTGAGCATGTATTTTATATGAATAATTTATTTCGTTATGAATTAATGATACGTTTAATAGTAAGTCAGTTATCATAAAGTATATGAAATTAATTCATACAGAAATAAATAAATGTATATAAAATTTTAAAATTATAAATTTAATTCATTAAATACCAACACTATTTGTTAGGAGAACCATCAAATGAAAAACAAATCAATGCAAATTAATAAAAAAATATACATTTTAAACACATAAAATGCATGTGTACTCATACAAGAAATGGACTGGTTTCAGAAAATATGTGGACTGGGCGAGTGGGCTTTTGTTGTTGTTGTTGGTCCACTATCCCTCTTTCTTTCTTTAAAAGTATTTGCCAGCATTTGCTCTTTGTTATCCATTTTGACATTCTCATTGGATCCATGTGTCAAGTGTGTACAGGTTGCCTATGGCCTAGAATAAACTATTGTTTAATTAGGATGGATATTGAATAGTCATATAGAGTCAATGAAAACATGCTTTCTAAAACATTTGTCGTTTTATGTTTGATGTCATTTTAGAACAATTTCTATAATTTTTGTATATATTGGGATAATTAGAGAGAATAGGAGTAAAGAAAAAAAAAGTATTAATGTATTCGGTATTTCTCGTGGAGAAATCAATCAATAAAAACAAAGTTATTTCTCTAAAATCTAAACCTAATTCGACCTCTTTCTCTCAGACACTGATAATCTCTTTTTCTCCCAAAAGGACCGTCGACCACTTCCTTGTTTCTTCCCAAATTTCTTCATCCCAATCCCGAAATTATTCTACCTGAAATCCCTCTTAATTATATATAATTCACTCATTCAAGCCGCTTCTTTTCTTCCAAAATAGAGAAAACTCCGTACCCCGATCTAGGCTTCCAAACAACTCTTCCCGGATACACATATCGTAATGTCGATTAGGGGGGGGGGTCCTAAACAAAAAATGAGTCCAGAATTCTTTTATAGAGCGTATAAGGAGAGGTTATGCAATATGCTCGACCGATGGGAGAGGAATGCAATATACTCGAGTCTAACCTTTGAAGCTTTATCGTTTTACTACATGTGGTATCATACCCCAATTTCGAGAATCTGAACGATCAACTTTGAGTTTGGATTTCGAGAATCGGGACCATGGATTTATCCATTAAAGGTTAGATTATAATATTATACTTCAAAACCGGTTTAGTTCGTGTTCTAAATAAAGGTATCTTAGAATACATAAATTATCGTACACTCATTGTATGAGTATAATTCAAATACTATCCACCTAATAATTCGTTTGTATCTTCTACAATTGTTTAAAAAACAAACAAAGGGATATTGTGTATACGACTAGTGACTACACACCTATCGTACGTGTACCAGACGTACAAGTACCTAATCTAGGAAGAGTCAAATCTTCTGATCAATACATAATCTCAAAATATAATCAAGTAGAGATCAACATATATAAATAAAATAAACCCCTTTTGCGAGAAGGTAACCGAGACTTGTCAAGGTGCAGTGGCACGCCGACCATTCATTTCTTTAATAACACAGTCTATCGATCATGATGGCAAATCCATTTGCCATTAGGAAAAGCCAAAGGAAAACCATTATACAAAAAAAGTTGTCTTATTTTTTTAAAGAGAAAGTGAAGAGGATGGTTAGTAATGGAATTGGATTCAGATCTATAAAAATGATGGAGTAGGTTAACTTCTTCTTCTTCATGTCTGCTGCCGGCAAGCTAAGTAATTAAAGTTTGAAAGACGACGAAGCACCCACAACACGTTTTCTGATCACTTTCTGTCTTCAGCTAGTTCTGATTTAATACTAGTTTAACAAAATTTTACAAAGGGCGATGAAAACACTTTATAAAAGAGTTTTTGCGTAAATTTAATATGAATTCGTACAGTTTTTAGAAATGATATACATGTTATACATGCATGCAACATGATAGGTCGATAATAAGTGTCCATATACCTAGGCTAACGGTAAGAATTAAGGTTTGAGAGTTGCAGATCTAGGTTCGCTCCAAGCAAGGTCTATTGGTGTTCCCAAAAGTATGAGACTGCTGAGAGCGAAGCCCCGTTGACGTCGAATTGATTGCAGGTGGCCTCCAGATTTAGTAGGCCCCGTTGTCACAAAGTGACACATGGACATGAGATTCCTGGGTAACATAACAAAAAAGTGTCCATATAGCCCAATTAATAAATCCGACAACGGAAACAATAAATTTGATACCACTTATCGATATCGAATTGCTCCATTAGTACGATATTGTCCGCTTAGTACCAAAACCCGCATGAATATACTTTTGGGTTCCTTTCCAAAATGTCTCGTATTAGTTGGGCTATGTGGATACTTATATTCTTTCCCTCGTATCTCCAATTTGACACTTGATTTGTAGCATAACAATCCAAAACTCAAGAGAAGGACCATGAACTTTGTGTCCTCTCTCAGCGATTGTCTTGATCCGCCAAACAGACACATATCTCCATTAGATCTGCTAGATATATGCAAATTTCCTTTGATATGCCAAATAGACACATATCTCAAATATCCACTCGGTTTTCTAGAGGTCTTCCAGACAAACATGAATCTCCTTTAATCCACCAAACAAACAAAGATCTCAAATCCCGAGGTCAACGAGGATCCACCAAACTATCGTTCACTGGCCTGGATCCGAACGAGGCTCTAATACCACTTCTCAACATCGGGTGCCCCATTAGAATGATGTTGTCCGGTCTTACTTATGAGTTCATTCTAAAATGCTCGTACTAATTGGGTTAGGTGGATACTAATATACAAAGGTGCATCCACTTGTATTTCCAGCCAGACTCGGATACCACTTGTTGAACTGACACCTCCATTAGTTTGATATTGTCAGCTTTTGGCCAAATCTGCATGAATTTACTTTTGGATATCGTCCCTAAAGGGTCTCGTACTAATGTGTTTGGTGGACACTAATATACAAGGGTCTTTTTCCTTTTATTGATTTGATACTTGGATTGTCTCAGAACAATCTAGGTAGCTCCATTGCTACGATATTGTCTGCTATGGACCAAGTTCACACGAATTTACTTTTGGGTATCCTCTCCTTAAAACCTCATACTAATAGCGATAGGTGGACACTAATATATAGGATTACATACTCGTGTATTTACGACGTGATAGTGGATTGTACCATAACATTTTCATTGTTAAGCAACCTCTCCCATCATTGCACACAAATTGGAAGGTCGAGCTGCGATTGCAAGTAAGTTTATTAGGGTTAAGCTGATTAAAGCTTTAAGGCATAACGATTCTTAACAATATATTGAGATTTTTGTTAACGACGGGTCGCTAAATAAATTAATATGTCACGACTTAGCAAGCCATCCTCAAGTCAAGAAACGACTAGTGCAAGTACCCGTCTCACCCAAAGATAGAATCCTTTCCAAGTTCGATTGACTATTTTCCTACATATGTATAACAATTTCCGTCAAACAAGACCCTGTAGTAGTTATCAGTTAAACCTTAAATCACCATAACTTAATATTGACAATTTTCCTACATGCACCCTTCCCTTCCAAATTTTATAACACTTTAAGGATCGACTCTCTGCCTCATTCTCATTCCTTATGCCGAAACTGGGCCGCTCAATTAGTACGATATTGTCTGCTTTGGGCCAAGCCCGCACGGATTTACTTTTGGGTGTCCTCCCCAAAAGATCTCGTACTAATTAGGCTAGGTGGACTCTTATATACAAGGGTCCCTTTCCTTGTATTACCGATGTGGTACTTGGATTGCCCCATAACAATCCTCCCCTCAAGACAAGGACCACGAACTTCGTGTCCTCTCATCAGCGATTATCTTGATCCGCAAGACACCTTGTATCGATGGGCTTCTCGGTACAAGGATTTTCTCAGGCGTGGAACTCTCTTTGATCCGCCAAACAGACGTGGATCTCTCCACCAGATAAATGTGGACCTCCCTCGATCCGCCAAACCAGATGTAGCCCAAACGTGGATTTCTCGTTGATCCACCAAACCAAACGTAGATCGCAAATCCTAAGGTCATTGGATGAGGGTCCCACCAAACCGACGTCCACCGCCCCGGATCTGCAGAACCAGGATCTGATACCACTTGTCGAAACCGGGTCGCTCAATTAGTACGATATTGTCCGCTTTGGCCAAGCCCGCACGGATTTACTTTTGGGTGTCCTCTCCAAAAGGCCTCGTACTAATTGGGTTAGGTGGACTCTTATATACAAGGGTCTCTTCCTTGTATTACCGATGTGGTACTTGGATTGCCCCATAACACCTTAAAAGTACAATATTTGTGAAAGGATCTTGAATACACATCACTTACAAAAATTACTGATTTGGGCCTAATTGTACATATTTTACCCCGTTTTCCTTAGGCGTTTATGCCAATTGTGCTCCTAAAAGGGTGGTTTTACGCGAGGTATCTTGTGTTTTAGAATGTTTCAGGATTTAACAGGTGAAACCAGCCCCGGAGTCGGAAGTTGGACGAAAAGGAGCGAAAACTGGGAGAAGAGGTGAAAA